GCTGTTACAGTTTGTTTTATATATTTGGGAGCCCTGTTTTTGGGTGCGTAAATATTTCTTGTAGTTATGTCCTCCTGGTGTATTGACCCTTTAATCATTATATAGTGTCTGTCCTTATCCTTTGTGGTGGATTTTGCTTTAAAGTCTATTTTGTCAGAGATTAATATTGCCACTCCTGCTCTTTTTTGAGTGTTGTTTGCTTGATGTATTTTTTCCATCCTTTGAGTTTTAGTTTATTTGTGTCTTTAAGTCTATGGTGTGTCTCTTGTAGGCAGCATATAGACGGATCGTGTTTTTTAGTCCAATCTGCCTATCTCTTTGTTGGTGCATTTAGTCCATTTCCATTCAGCATAATTATTGATAGGTATGAGTTTAGTGCTGTCATTTTGTGTCTTTTTTTGTGTGTTGTTGACAGTTTCTTTGTTCCACTTAATTTTCTGTGCTGAGTCATTTTTCTTTATGTATTTTCTTCTCATTTTTTTGATTGTTGTTGATTTTGTATTTACTGAGTCTTTATGTTTTTCTTGTTTTTTATTTTGATGTGTAGGATTGTTAGTTTCCTTTGTGGTTACCTTAGTATTTACCCCTAGTTTTCTAAGTTTAAACCACTCTTTTATTTCTTTATATTGCCTTGACTTCCTCTCCATATGAAAAATCTATGTCTACATTTTTTAGTCCCTCTTTTTTGTTTTAATGGTATCATTTTTTACATATTGACATCTTTGTTTCCCTATTTTCAGTGTTTTAGCTTTGATTTATTATTGTGACCTCCTGTCTGGGTTGATATCTGGTTGCTCTGTTCTGTGTTCTAGTCTTGGGTTGTTATCTGATGTTATTGATTTTCTAACCGGAGGACTTCCTTTAGTATTTTTTGTAATTTTGGTTTGGTTTTTGCAAATTCCCTAAACTTCTGTTTACCTGGAAATGCCCTAATTTTGCCATCATATTTGAGAGACAGTTATGCAGTATATATGATTCTTGGCTGGCAGTTTTTTTTTTTTCCTTCAAGGCTGTATATATGTCATCCCATTGCCTTCTTGCCTGCATGATTTCTGCTGAGTAGTCCAAGCTTATTCTTATTGACTTCTCCTTTGTAGATGACTTTTTGTTTATCCCTAGCCACTCTTGAAATTCTCTCTTTATCTTTGGTTTTGGCAAGTTTGATTATAATATTTGTTGGTGACTTTCTTTTGGGATCTACGTCATGTGGGGTTTAATGAGTATCTTGGATAGATATCTTCTCATCTTTCACGATATCAGGGAAGTTTTCTGCCAACAAATCTTCAACAGTTTCTGTCTGTATTTTCTGTTATCCCCTCCTGTTCTGGTACTCCAGTCACTTGTAGGTTATTCCTCTTGATAGAGTCCCACATAATTCTTAGGGTTTCTTCATTTTTTTTTAATCCTTTTGTCTGATTTTTCCTCAAATAAGTTGGTGTCAAGTGCTTTATCTTCAATCTCACTAATTCTGACTTCCATTGCCTCAAATCTGCTCCTATGACTTTCTATTGAGTTGTCTAATTCTGAAATTTTATTGATAATCTTCTGGATTTCTGATTGCCATCTCTCTATGGATTCTTGCAGCCTGTTAAATTTGTCATTATGCTCTTCTCTAATCTTCTTAAGTTTCTCTATTGCTTGATCTGCGTTTTGCATAATTTCCTTCCTGATATCTTGAAGAATTCTGTATATTAATCTTTTGTAGTCTGCCTCTGATAATTCCAAGAAATTATCTTCCTCTGGAAAATTTCTTGATTCCTTATTTTGGGAGCTTGCTGAAGCCATCATAGTCTGCCTCTTTATGTGATTTGATATGACTATTGTCTCCAAGCCATCGAGAAGTTATTATATTTATTTATTTTATGTTTGCTTGCTGTATCCTAGCTTCTTGTCTTGTTTTGATATGCCCAAATAGGCTGCTTGTGTGTGTTAGCCTGATCAGTAGTGCCCCTGAAGCTCCAACATCCTGCCATTAGGTGGCCAGACTTGCCACTAAGTTTATGAGCCCAGGAGTCTGCCCACTCCTCCTGTATGGATTCAGCTTAGGTGTCCAGGTAGTTGGCCACCAAGTGTGTGATGCAGGCTCTTACCTACAGTCCTAAACAGGCATGGGTGATTAGTATAGGCACAGGCATCCAGCTACAGCAGTGGGACACAGGCTAAGCAAGGCAGAGGGCCTACAGCTGCCCCTGAGTGTCCGGGAGGAAAGCGTGTCCCTGTTCCCTAGAGCGCGTAGGTGGGTGAATTTTGTAGCCAGACCATAAGCGCCCAGTGCTGTTGGCTGTAAGGACTGGGGGGTACCTCTTATTGTTGGGCCCCTGTCGCAGGTGGCTAGGTGGCATGGGTGGAGCCACCAGTCCTCAGGCCCCTGATGTGGGTCAGTAAAGACCCTGCTTAATGGGCAGAGCAGTGTCAAATGTCAGGAACCTGCCACTTCATAGCTGAAACAGTTGAATGTAGACTTCAGGTATATATCCTGTTGTACTGTGGTAATGAGGGCCTACGCTGTTGAAATGGGCCCACACAAGTCTATGCAGGGCGAAAGGTACTCAGAGTCTGTGGACTCCTTCTGCCTGTGCCTACGCACAGGAGCTGTGCTTACCCTGAGTTCCTGGCTTAGGGGAGCCAGCAGATTATTTTCTCCCCAGTTAATTTATTCCCTCCCCAAAGCCGGGAGAATGGCTTAGGGCATGTGATGGGTCCTACTTCCTGCCCAGGGGACTCGGCAGTTGCTGAAGCTGTCCCGGACCCAGTGCAGAGCAGGGAGCAGGGAGGTAAATGGGAGAGAGGTTTTTCCCAAGGTGGGGGGGTTTGATCCGTGCAGTAGCCCAGACGCAAGTACTTATCTTTCGCCGATTGAGTGCTGCTTCTCACTGGTTCTGGATGGCCGAGTAGACTGTCTGCTGCTGGGTCTCTTCCGATGTGGAAAACGCCTCCTGAGCACTGCTGCTTGCCTCACCGTGCACCACAAGCTGATCTAGCCTGAATGGCTCCGGCTGCCGCTGGGTCAGGTCTGGCAACTCCTCACTGCTTCCAAACCCTCTCTCCCTCCCCTTGCCACTTGGTCTGATTCCTCAACTTTGTCTTTGATGTTCAGGGCTCCTAGATTGTCATATATAATCCATTCACTTGTTTTTTCGGGTCTTTGTTGTGAGACGGACCACCGGAAGTATCTGACTACTCTGCCATCTTGGTCCCACCTCCTCATTTGATTTCTTGACTGCTGCTTCCATGATTGTTCATTAAGAAAAACGTTTGGCTATCTAAATCACTTTAATACCTTTAAGCTCATAATTGGAATGCATTATATTAGATTATGGATGATCTTAAGTGTTCAAATGCCTCCTTTCAGAATGGACAGTCACAATTAATTAATTGAACATTATGATTGCTGTTGTTTTAGGACCTCACTAACTTAACAAGGCTGTGTCACTTAAAGGATTTGTCACTGAATGATCCTCAGTATAAAACCAATCCAGTTTGTCTGCTGTGTAATTATTCCACGCATGTACTGTATCACTTGCCTTGCCTTCAAAGGCTTGACACATTTGATGTGTCATCAAAGCAAATCAAGGAACTGGCAGATGTAAGTACATCCTTAATCAGGTAGCTATGACTTAAGTTCGATTAATTAACTGCTTCTTTCGGGTTATGTCCACATTAAGTAGTATTATCTAGTCAGGTCTTATCACCAAATCTACTTTTGTTTCAGTGTACTGCATATTTCACATAAAAGTGTATAAATAATAACATTAGTACTAGAATTTTGATTTCAGTGATAGTACTGGAAGCTGAAATAATAGGAAAAACACTGTTTATAATCTATACAAAACTAAAGTAAGGAAGTCTGAAAAATTGTCATCAGTGTTTAGAATAATTGGACTGGTGCTACATGTGTAAAAATTAGTTAAGCCTAAATAAAAGTAGAAATGAAACAAGTAACCTTTTATTTGGAATGCTATATATCAAAATTGAAGAATATATATGATTGATGATAGTATGCCAATTAAGTAGATTTTAATCTAATTGTTTATTATTTATTAGTTTAATGATTTTGGGTTCCCTGGAGGTAAAATTAGATCTACCCACACTACCATAGCAACTCTGAAATCTGGAAGAGAGCTGTTTCTGGGCTGCCACTGACAGTGAACCACCCCCATAAGGGGGCCAGTTTCACCTGTCCCCAAGGGAGCTATAATTTCAAAATGGAGTTCATAGGAATTCACCATGTTTATTAATAGTCTTTCCACATTATATTTCTATTGCTGCTTCCAATCCAGTGAGCCACCCACCTTGCACCATTTGTTCATTCAGTTCATCACCCAATAAATAGTTTTTGAGTAGTATGTGCCAAGCATGTGGATGCCCCCACAGTGAAGTCTTCCTTTCTTTTCCTTGTTGCTCATCCATCATCTTAACATAGATAGGAATGTCTATCCATTTATCCGACCTTGGTTATCTTCTCTTGCTGGCCTAACTGAGGATATATTCTCAAGCTCCATTTTCTCCTTTTTTTTTCCCCCCCAAGATTGAGAATGTGGGGTTTGGAATCAGAAGACTTGGATTCAAGCCCCGCTGCATCTGTTACTACCTGTCACTTAGGCAAGGTCGTTTACTTCTCTGAGCTTCAGTTTTCTGAACTATTAAAATGGTGATGACAATAATAGTACCTACCCTTAATCACAGGATTGTTGTGGGGATCCAGTAAATTAATATGCATAAAAGTTCATTTTAAGTGTTAAGTATATAAAAATAATCTTTTTGAAATTGTAGTTGAGTGTATTTCTGTTTATGACTTTTAATTTAATTTGTTTTCGGTCATCAAAGAAGTAAATGGATCAAATTTTGTTTTAACTTAGTACAAACATGAAACTGAATTTAGCATTATAATTAAAGTCTAATTAAAAAAAAAACCTTTTCTACTTAAACAGGCAAGTAGTTCAACCAAAGTCGTTGAAATTGACTTTGACAATTACTTTCTGTCGATTATTAATTCTCAAAAGTCCAAACATACACACACACAAACAAGTGAATATACAGTCAGCCTACATAGTTGATTTGCTATATATCTACAGTTTACAAGAGTCTTCTCTTCTTCTCCAGGATCTTAGTATATACCCTCAAACAACAAGGACCAAAACCACTTTTTGATAACCCTTATTTATTGCTTTTATTGCTGTGACACACTAAGCGGTTTTGAAAGAGTTCAATAAAATATCAAAACTTATGTTACTATTTACTATATTCAGATATAGGTATATTCTTAATAAAATAGAAAATAAAGTGGAAGACACTCTGGAAGGATATACTAGAAAATAGTATCAGTTTTTATCTGTGACTGGGGAGATGGGAAGCTGGTGTGGGAAGTAGACTTTTCATCGTATATCTTAATTTTTTTGTTTTTTTTTAAAACATGTGACTATATGACTTATTAAAAAACATATATAAAAGTAAAGGTTTTTTTCCTCCCCACTTAGAGGGACTCCAAGTTAAATTTGAATTTGAGATAAACAACCAATAGGGTTTTAGTATAAGTATGTAAGTAAAAGTAAGTTTAGTAACTATGATATTAAACATTACTTATTGTTTATCTGAAAGTCAAATTTAACTTGGCATCTTGTATTTTATCTGGCAACCCTACCTTCACCCCATGTTCTCTTGTTATTTTAAATTTAAGAATTCATTAGAAATTTTTTTGGTTGTCACTGATGAAACATTTTTAATTGGATTTTTCATTTTCTCCAAATAGGCAAAAAATCAAAAAACACCATTTGCCATTACCTTAGTTACATTTTTTTCTTAGCCAATTCATTTGCACCTTAGAAATCAAGCCCTTCCTCATCAGGGACTTTTCTGTCAGTCCTAAAACATTTCATCATCCTAAAACAAACTTTTTTCTTAACTTATTCTATGAATATGAATTTCTTGTTTTTGGCAGAGGAACTTAGCAATTTCAGCTCCAGAACTTCATAATTTGCAGTCAGAATGTGGGGAAAAGAATTATATTTGGCTTGTTCATCATGCCATATGTTTGTTTCTATTCAGTCTTTTATACCAAATAATTCCGAGGGAGCTTGATTATTCACTTTATATCAAATAGATAACACTAATTAGAGCCCGCATCTATAGAAAATACGTGTCCAGAACAGTGTACAAGCCATCCAACTTATCTGAAGTACAGATTCCCTGATAAAGAGAAATGGCTTGTTTCAGATAAATGCTTAAAACTAGGAAGTATTTTTATAGTGCACCTGGTTTGTTTATTTTCTCCTCAGATGATTCTTTCTGACTAATCTATCTCTCAGGCACTAGTTAACTGATATATTTTTTAATGATGGTGTCTTGGATTGAATTATGTCCCCCAAAAAATATGTGTGTCAGTTTGGCTGGGCCATGATTCCTGGTATTGTGTGATTTTCTTATATGTCGTAAATCCTGCCTCTGTGATGTTAATGAGGGAGGATGGGTGGCAGTTGTGTTAGTAAGGCAGGATTCAGTCTACAAGATTGGATTGTGTCCTGAGGCAATCTCTTGAGATATAAAAGGGAGAAGTGAGCAGAGAGACAGGGGGACCTCATACCACCAAGAAAGCAGTGCCAGGAGCAGAGTGTGTCCTTTGGACCTGGGACCCCTGCGCAGAGAAGCGCCTTGTCCAGGGGAACACTGATGAGAAGAAGGCCGACAGAGAGAGAAAGCCTTCCCTTGGAGCTGATGCCTTGAATTTGGACTTTTAGTCTACTTTACTGTGAGGAAATAAACTTCTCTTTGTTAAAGCCATCCACTTGTGGTATTTCTGTTATAGCAGCACTAGGTGACTGAGACAGATGGATTTAACCAATTTATTATAATAAACCTATTAATAACTGAATGATCCATTGGTATTAAGAAATTCAAGGTAATTAGATTAGATTGACCATTTAGTAATGTTCTCAGTCTAAAACCAGTTTATTTGGAGTATGAAACCATTAGGTGCTATTTTCTAGCCATGCTTTTAAAAAATGAGTTAAGTAACCTTATATTTGCTTTTAACATTTTTAAATTTCTTTACTTTTCCCCAAGTTAATCAAATAGGATTCATGTAGTTATATATTTGCTTTAGTAATGCTGTCTCATTAGCTAAATGATACTGTTGTACAAATTGAATTTTTTCTGTAGTCTTTTTCTGCTGTCATCCTAGAAATAAGTGAGAATATGCCTCACACTTAAAATATTATCCACAAAGAGAATCTTTAGAATTTTATATTTTGCTCATTAAGTTTAAATGTAGAAATTCGTGTAGCCATTATCACTCCAACTGTCATTATTGTTAGTAACTGAACATGCAAAACTTTCTGTTGTTATATAGAACATGGCACACTCATATTAATACCACTAATAACAAATAACAAATACCACTAATAACAAATAATTTTGCTTATTTTGGGTAAATTTTTGTTTTGTCTCACTTTCAGACCACAACAATGAAAAAAATAATGTATTACAACATGCGCATAAAAACTGTGCAGAGACATCTTAATGAAGACCTTGAAAAACTGAATGATCGAAAATGCAAATTACAAAAGTTGCCAGAAGAACGAATAAAATTATTCAGCTTTGCTATAAAAAATGTAAGCATTAATATCGTAAAATTTAAGTGGTCACATTTTAAGAAAATTGTCAGATAAAGTAGCATTATCTTTTAAATTATACATATATATATTTTAATTAATACTGAATTTCAAGTCTAAGTGTACTCCTAAGATAATGTTTTGATTCCAGGAACTTAACTTTAAACTGTGTTCTGTGCTTAGAAATATGCAGTTCAAAAAAAGTGTAGGCTAATTTATTTATGATTTTTTTTTCATAGCAATGTCAATTTCCTGATTTTTTTTTTTAATTGTGCTATAGGTGAAAGTTTATAGAGCAAATTGGTTTCTCATTAAACAGTTAATACACATATTGTTTTGTGACATTGGTTGCCAACCCCACAACGTGTCAGCGCTCTCCCCTTCTTAACCTTGGGTTCCCCATTTCCATTTGTCCAGCTTTCCTGTTACCTCCTGCCTTCTCGTCCTTTCCCCTAGAGTGGTATGCCCATTTAGTCTCATATCCATGGTTGGACTACGTATATTATTGTTTGTTTTATAGGCCTGACTTGATGACAGCTAACAATAACAACAGCTATAATCTTTGACTGAAGGGTGAACTTCAGAAGTGACTTCAGTACTGAGTTAAAAGGGTGTCTGGGGGCATACTCTCGGGGTTTCTCCATATTTATGAAATTTTTTTAAAGATATGTGGTCTACTATGATTCAGTCAGAGAGTTATAGAGATCTGTTAGACTTATTCCAGCTGCATTTTTATTAGACACCCCCAGGCTAGGCTCAAAATTCATTTTCTTGTTTAAAGTGCTAAGATATCCCTTTACTAATGGTAGGAACTTTAAATCAAGCTATGCTTTAGTGGTCTATATTATGTGTGCTCATTTATTTAGAAAAAAACTGGATTTTCTTTACTAAGAGTAGACCCTGAAAAACTAAGGATTATTAGTTCAAAACAGAAACTTGTATATATGAGGACTTATAAAAGAGAGGTATGAGAAAATAATAGGTTATTCAACAGATGGTATTAGAAAAATACTCAAACTGTTTGGGAGTAGGGAAGTTGAATCCTTACTTTACACTATACCAAAAGTAAATACCAGTTAGATAAAAGAATAAAATGAAAAAATTGAAGAATTTGTAGATGGATATTTAACTGATCTCAGCTTGCCAGATAAAAGAAATGCTAACAACCACAAAGGAACAAAATGGATAGATTTAACTGTGATCAATCAGTCAATAAGTAAGTAAATAAACTCTTGTGTACTAAAAAATCATTATTAATAAAATTAAGCAACAGTTGACAACCTAAAAAATTGTTTTCAACAAACATGATGAACAAAGGTTTGGTATCCTTAGTATAAAAGTACTCTTGTAAAGCAAGAGAAAAAGTAAATATCCAACTAGAAAAATTGAGCAAAGCACATAAACTAGCATTTTACAAAGAAGAAATAAAAAATGACTAATAACCATTTGAGAGTATAGTTCAACCTCATTATTAATTTCCAAATGCTAATTAAGATAACAAGAAACCATTTTTACCTATTCACACTGTCAGAGCTTAGCACGTGGTAGTGCTCAGTCTGGTGAAGACGGGTAAGCCACTATTACACCAGTGATGGAAGTATAACTTTGGTTGTATATATATCAAGAGCCTAAAAATGTTCACAGCCTTTGATCTGATAAATCTACTTCTAGCACTCTATTTAAAGATTTGGATAAAGATTTATATAAAAGGATATTTATCACTGCATTATTAATAACAATAAAAAATTGAAAATTACCTAGATGTTTAACAACAAGGGAAACGTTATTTATTTCTAAGATAAAATAGTAGGTATAAAGCATGGCCCCTGGATTTCTATCAGCCCAGAACTAAAACAATTTCCAAGGCCAACTCTTCAGACAGGGATGGGACTGGAATGTGGGACATAAGTGATACTCGTGAGGAGTGTGCCTCTTAGCTCAAGTAGATACAAGAGACTAAACAGGTATCTTCTGTCCAGAGGTGAGATGGAAAGGCAGAGAGGGTTAGGAGCTGGTTGAATGGACATGGGAAATCAAGGGTGGAAAGGAGTGTGCTGTCACAGTATGGGGAGAGCAATTAGGGTCACATAACAATGTATGTATAAATTTTTGTATGGGAAACTAACTTGAAATGTAAACTTCATTTAAACTACAACAATAAAAAGAAATTAAAAAAAAATAAAAGTAGGAGTCAACAAATTTTTTTTCTGTGAAGGGCCATATAGTAAATATTTTAAGCTTTTCAGCCAGAAGGTCTCTGTGGCAAATACTCAACTTTGTGGTTATAGTACAAAAGCAACCATAGACAGTATGAAAATGAGTATGACTGTGTTCCAATAGAACTTTAGTTATGGATCCTGGAAAAAAAAAGAACAGTAGGTAGCCATTAAAAACCAAATTTTTTCCTTCTTCTCCTTGGGAGAAGGAGAGAGTGTTGACATGTCACAGGGTTGGCAACCAATGTCACAAAACAATATGTGTATCAATTTTTTTTTAATGAGAAACTAATTTGCTCTATAAAAGTTTACCTAAAGCACAATTAAAAAAACTAAGTTTTGAAATATATTTAATATTTTTCTAAAATGAGCATGGTTTAATTACTATTATAATTAGAAAAAGATTCTTAAATTAAAAAATTAATAAAATTTAAATCATTTATTTTAATAAAAATCACAGGAGACTATTATGTGGAAATCATTTTATATCTGTCGTTTTCATGTGCAAATGATTTCCACAGAGTACATACAAATACATGTAGTAAGTAAAATCTACAAATATGAGAAATAGTAACTATAGATTATACAGACTACATACACTTAATTGTGCTCATGTGGAACCCATTCATAGACTAAGAGGCAGTTGTTTGAACAGAACAAGGGGATACTACGTGGTTTAAAATCAGAAAAGGTATGAGCCAGGATTATATCCTTTCACCATACTTATTCAGTCTGTATGCTGAGCAAATAATCCGAAAATCTGGACTATATGATTGGAGGAAAACTCATTAACAACCTGCAATATGCAGGTGATACAACCTTGCTTGCCAAAAGTGAAGAGGACTTGAAGCATTTACTGATGAAAATCAAGACTACAACCTTCAGTATGGATTACACCTCAACATAAAACAAAAATCCTCACAACTGGACCAATAAGCAGCATCATGATAAACGGAGAAAAGATTGAAGTTGCCAAGGATTTCATTTTACTTGGATCCACAATCAACACCCATGGAAGCAGCAATCAAGAAATCAAACGATGTATTGCACTGGGCAAATCTGCTGCAGAAGACCTCTTTAAAGTGTTCAAAAGCAAAAATGTCACTTTGAGGACTAAGGTGCACCTGACCCTGGTCTCATCCATTGCCTCATATGCATGTGAAGCTAGACAATGAATAAGGAAGACTGAAGAAGAATTGATTCATTTGAATTATGGTGTTGGCGAAGAATATTGAATATACCATGGACTGCCAGAAGAATGAACAAATCTATCTTGAAAGAAGTACAACCAGAATACTCCTTAGAAGTGAGGTTGGCGAGACTTTACCTTGCTTACTTTAGAGGTGTTATCAGGAGGGACCGATCACTGGAGAAGGACATCATTCCTGGTAAAGTAAAGGGTTAGCAAAAAAGAGGAAGACGCTCAACAAGATGACACAGTGACTGCAGCAGTGGGCTCAAACATACCTACTATTGTGAGGATGGCACAGGACCCAGTAACGTTTCGTTCTGTTATCCATCGGGTCACTATGAGTCAGAACTAACTCAATGGCATGTGACAATAACAACATACAGATTACAGACATTTTTATAAATATGGGTAATTTGTCTTTTAATAACTGGATATGTAACTGTTATAGAGGAGTACAGTAATTCATAAGTTTCTATTCATATACACCTTGACTGCTGCTTCCGTGGGCATTGATTGTACAGTACAGTTTATCTTGAAATCCTACAAGACTGGGGTTAGGGTGAGGCAGTCAAGGCACTCACCTTGGGCCCAAAATTTAAGCGAGTGTCCTACTCAACATTGTGAATATGTCAGTTCTACCCAAAAGCGATCTACAGATGCAAAGCAATCCCGATGCAAATTCCAACGGCATTTTTTAATGAGATAGAGAAACAAATCACCAACTACATATGGAAACGGAAGAGGCCCCAAATAAGTAAAGCATTGCTCAAGAAGAAGAACAAAGTGGGAGGCCTCACACTACCTGATTTTAGAGCCTCTTACACCACCACGGTAGTTCAAACAGCCTGGTACTGGTACAACAACAGATACATAGACCAATGGAACAGAATTGAGAATCCAGACATAAATTCATCCACCTGTGAGCAGCTGATATTTGACAAAGGCCCAAAGTCCGTTAATTGGGGAAAAGGCAGTCTCTTTAACAAATGGTGCTGGCATAACTGGATATCTATCTGCAA